ATTCTGCTAGTAGACCTTTTCATATTTTAACAAGAGTTATCTTCAAAAGAAATCTTGCCACTGTCATGTAACATTTCTTACTGTCATTGCGCCTGGTTTATTACCTTTCTATCTTTAACTGCACTCCAAGAACATGCAAAAATTATCAGCCTAGGAAAAATCAAAATTTCTAACATCTGGAAAATAATAAATCCTACTTTTCACACAAGAAATACAGCACTGATAACATATTACAGCAATGATACGTATTAGCCCATTAATCTCTATCAAACACTACCAGAAGGCTCTTCAGAGGTACTTAACAACAGTGGCACCCAGCTCTTCTTGAACTTTTGAACACGGTAATTTTTATACAAATCTAAAGACAAGAATGCATCAGCTGTAGATACACTTGCTTCAACCTACGCCAACATCTAACAAGACTACATTGCTTATTCATTATTCCTCCCTTTCAGTACATGACAAAAATGGAAATCTTACAGAAATTTCACATTACTTATCTGTTGAAGTAGTCATTAGTGTTGCTATAGTCTATAAAGTACTACGACAGCTGTAGTGGCATGATGGTCTAAGACTTTAAGCAAGGCAAAGGGATAGATGATGGTTTTTATTAGGCCAACGCATGCAGCAGGGGGGAAAAAAACCTGTTAAGTTTACAGGGATTCAAGACCTTCAGATGACCTCAAAGAAAAGCTTGTGCACCTAACAGCTTATCATTTTCTACACCTCCAAAATATTCCCTTTGACATGTTTAATGAATATTTAATAAGCAGTATGTAAACAGCACAGAGTTTGAGAGAAAAGTGAGGGGACAAAGATACTGTAAGTTAGCAGCAGAAAACAGCAAGGCCATATAGCAGAGAAGAACATACAAATTATTCATTAATGCAATGATCATAAGTAAATAAGACTGTCAGGTGAGGGTCACTTCCTCTCTTCCTCTCACTGCCACAATTTGAAACTTCACAATTTAAATAAATCACTTATTTTTCTTAAATAACATTTATACCCTTTCCAAGGATGTGGGGACACAGCCTACCCTTCCAGAAATACTGTGTAAAACATTTGCTTTACCAACATTGCTGGCAAGAAAAACCTATGTGTTTACAGCAGTTAATATATATGCTATCTTTGTCATAGCTGTTGGCCATGGCTGGTTAATTCATTAAGTAACAGCTGGAATAAGTATTTCTAAGCCAACTCTATCTTTTTTAGAAGTAACTTAGACACCAATCCCTGGAAAAAATTCAGAGCCAATATGCAAAATCCTTCCCTTCCCTCTCTTGGTCAATTAGAGTATTCAGCAGAAAAAAAAAAAAATCCCTTGCACACTGCCTACCAGCTAGATTTTCAATAACAGGGGCACAGTCTAGCATAAGCTTTGAAAACTCCATCAATGCAATGAAGCAATTGACAACATCTTCTGCCTCCTTCCAAACCCAAAAACTAATCCTTTTCCTCATTTTTAGTTATATATTAAGAACAAACGCCTGTAAATCGCTCGCTGTGTGTCAATGTAAAATGGATATACTACCCCATTGAGGGCCCAGATTGAGGAAAGCATTCAGGACAGCCATAAAGCATAAGCTCAAATATACGCACAACAGAAGTCCAGCTAAAATGAATTATGTGTTCAAGGTTTTCATGAATCAAAGCCTCAAAGCAGTGTTAGCTGCTTGATTAACCAGGAAGCACTTCTGCCACTCTTCACCTAATCAGGTCTTGCCAGCCTAACTCACACTGAGATGCACTTTCCTTCCTAGTACTTCTCCAGGTACCAGAAGGATTACAATGAAATTGGGTTCTGCTCCCCCAGACTACAGCTGGCAGCATCCAAACCTTCCACATTCTGCACCCACCCGTTAGCACTTAGACAGCGAAAATAAATGGGACTCCTCAAGGAGGAACATACTATTCAGTGTCGGTAATGGCATTGCAGCAGAGCTCTTTGTGAGCTTCCGCTAAAAAGCATAATTCAGGAATAAAGTATTACTGCTTTTCCATTCAGTCTGTGGTATATGAATTCTAATGATTCCTCTCTTCCTTTTTTCATAAATTCAGTCAGGCTTCTGCAGGCACTTGTGTGGCTTCATAAACATTATTGCAGATTTTTCTCATCATCTGACTTTAAAATCCTCAGAAGAAAATGTTTTAAGTAAGTTATCCCAAAGGCAGATAAGGATCATTTGGCTCTAGAGCCAATTCATTCACACCTCCTGCCTGCTGGTAAGGAAAGAAAGGAGAGAGAGAGAGAGAGAGAGAGAGAAAAAAAAGAAACCAAAAGGTGAACGCATTGAGTATTTTAAGTCTTGAAAATGATGGCATTGTAAAAGGGACCCATTTACAATAAGTGGGCTTTCCTAGTTCTAAGGCTGGGACAAGAAGTTATTTTACCCTCTCAAAGGCATCTTATACTTAAAATGACATTTCTATCTGAAAACTTTTACCTACTGTTGTTACAAATAAGAGCAAAGATAAAAAATTAAAGAAAGAAAATAAGCAAGAAGAACTTAAGGAAAAGTTTTTTCCCAATTTACAGCTCCTTTCTTTTGCGCAGTTGGTGTCATCCTATATATGGGTATCTTCACTGTCTCTTCAGTAATTAACCAGTTTCTTTGCATAGGTCTTTCATATAGGGAAGAGAAGCCTTTTTTAAGTGATAGGAAAATAAAGGATGAAAAAAAGCTAACAGGTTGTTAGGAAGCATTGGAAACAAACATAGGGTGTGAAGCTAAGTACAATTAATTGCTTTAAAACTACTAGCTTTCAGGTTCATTAGTGCACTTTTTTTCTTTTTCTTTTAAACCACAGTCTCCCTTCTCTTCTGGGAAACGTCACTGACCAGCGTCTGTAGCGTCACTGGAGTATCCACTTTTGGAAGCTATCCCAAGGTTAAGAAGCAGCGCAGCTTTCTTTCAGATTTATCAGCACAGTTGTCCTTCCCATTTTAACTGCAGTAGCTCATTAAGTGTTTACCCATGGGATGTCACCAGGCAACAGTAACCAATCCGTAAAGCCACCCCACATGAAATAAAAATTAAGAAACTCATAAAAAAGATCTGTAACTTCAATAGCCTTTTTACAACACCAAGATGAAAGATCTGTAACTTCAATAGCCTTTTTATAGCACCAAGATGTAGTATTATACCACATCCAAACTCTATTTGCAAACAGTTGTTGAATCAAACATGAAATTTTCGAAAGTTTTTTTGCATTTTTCTTTCACTATTTTCCTCCTCAAATCTTAATAACATATCTTTTATCCTGACTTACAGGATTCTGACTGCAAAGATAAGATTACGACTGCAAGTTTGTCAAGTCCATTTAATCTTTCTGTCAAGCAAAGCAATATGTATATTAAGTTCAGATGCTGAGACAAACAAAGCCGCAAACATATAGTAACTTACTCTGCTACTTGAACACTGTCTCAAGAGACTTTTCCTACCACTAACAGGATTAAAAAACATCGAAACAAAACCCAGTGGACATATCAGAGCAGGGAAGATAATATAAAGCTTTCAGTTACTCTTCATTTCTGGGTTCTGAGTTTAACATTAAAGACTCACCTACCTGATTTCTGGCACTCTTGTATACACAATGTGAAATTCTGTCCCTATCAACACCAAAACCTCACACTGACACCAAAAAAGTTGGGATAGGATCTCACTCCTCCCAAGCACAGGATTTTCCTCCCAAGAATGGGATAGTTCCTTATATTAAAACCCTCTTCTGAAGAACTTGGGAATCGCCCACCTTCTCTCAGTACAAGTGGTAAGCAACCTTTTTTTGGCCCTCAGCTTCAGTAGAGGGCTTTGTAGCATTCCATCATGAACACACAGCTCATTCTCAGCTAAGATTCAATGAGCAGGCTTAAGCTATCAGGTCACAGCTTCCAAAATACACAGTGCAAATCCAGTAAACCAATGGAGTATTTTTTAGAAAAGTGATCTTTTCATTCATATTTCAACCAATAGGCAACAATGAGCAATATACCCATAAAAATGCATATTTGAACAAAGATAAAACTACAAGGGTGCCTGGGTTACTACCTATCAAAGCTAGACCTAAATGAACAGGAGTTGCTAGGAGTTTCAATATTTTCTGAAGCTACAGAGATCAGTCTTTGTTGCAAAGGCTTTTTTCAAAGCCTGCTTTGTAGGGTACATGCCAAACTTCTGAATTTCAGCCTCAGACTCAAGCTTCTAGGAAGCCCCTTCACAAGCCTGAGACAGCTTCCAAAAGGGGAAACTTTAGGACACTATAGACACTGTTTAGTAACATTTACTAGAAGAGAAGGGAGACTACAGTTTAGAAGGAAAAAGAAACCAACAACTCCTTACTTTTCTCATTGTTTCAATTCCTTTCAGTTATATGTGTAGTATGTGTAAACTGATTAAAGACTGTGTATACAGCAAACACGATATTCATTTTTGTGCTTTTTTCCGACTCAAATGTCAGATAAAATCCTGAACGATAACTGAAAAGATGGACGTGCAAAGTCTGTGATGGGAAACATCTTACTCTTTTCTACTTTAATAATTCAATGGCTTTTTATAAATAAAAATGTACTCAACAGTATGATGTTCAGAATTTTCTCTAATTCTTTCTAGCTATGGAATAAAAGCAACCATGAAGTATTTCAGGATGTAGCATCCACTGCACTGGTTGCTCAGAGCACATGTTATCAGGCATTGATAGGCTTTATATTCAGTTGTCTCATAAGAGACATGGAATAGGTTTTTCTTTAATGTTCACACAGCGGTGTCTCTAACACTTCTTAGCTGTCAGGGATCTCAACAGAAAATTTTTAGTAGGGGCGTGTGTGTGTGCGCGCGCGCGCGCATGCGTGCACAACCGTGTGTGTGTATAGAGAAAGATGTTTAAGAGAGCAACATCATCCAAATCAGGAATAGCGTAGGTAACTTGTTACCAGTAGAATACTAACAACATGAGACTACTTAGAGGTTATTCACTGGAAAGCAGAAAAACATGGTCATTACCTTGTAAATGGCCTTGCACCCTTTTCCTATGCAGCTCTTTTTGCACCTAGCCCAAGATTCCACATGCCCGTCTCTGTGAGCCTTGCGATGTCCAGAGAAATCCTCACTGACGGCTATGAAGCAGGAGTTCAAATGCCCGAGAGAGGGTTAAAATTTAGTTTAAAAAATTAACAACAATAAAGCTTAAACATTTAGAAAAAAATAGTATCTGAATCCATCTGTGGAAACTTGGTGTATGTTGTAACTTGTTACCTCCATTGCATTATTCTGCCACTCTATGTCACCGTTAAGATAGAGAAACTAATAGATTTTTAAGCGTGGTTTAGAAAGTTGTGTTGGGGGTGGACACCACTAACCACTATGAGGATTCCCAGTGAATTTTCTACATGAAGCTCTGATGTTCAGTTTACGAGTATAATCCTGCAATGTTATCCCAAAGATACTGTATTCCCTGATGTTAGTAGAAGCCACATAGATAGGGAAGTCCAAAGTCTCTACTGGGGTTGATTTCAAAGTTGGAAAAATTTAGTGAAATACAAGCACTGCACAGCACACCCAAAACGTCAGCTATAGTCTTTGATAAGACTTTCCAGTTAAAAGAAATATCCCCAGGATATATTAACATAAGAAAAAGAATAAAAAATATCTCGAGAATGAACAAATCAAAGAAACAGCCCTTAAGGCAGACATCACTGAAGGGCAATGAGGTTACACCGCTGGGGATTTTCTTTATCACGGACAAGACTGGTATCATAGCCTAGCTGATATCATTAAGGCTACCTGAAACTTCCAAGTCTAAGACTTTATTTTCAGCTCTTCACAACTTTATTTGTGGGCTGAAATTTTCCAACCTCGAAAGAAGCACGCAAGTAAGATGGGAGTTCAGGAAGGGTTACTGAGAAGGCTAAGTGAAAGAAATGGGATTTGAACAAGATAAGAGAGAAGAGATGAGATAGAAGTTGAATGAGTCCCAACCAGGGATAATAAGTAGAAAATCTGTGCCCATTAATGCAGCTTGAAATGAAACCCACGATTGTTCCATCTCACCATTTCTTTCCTATCAGCACATCTGCTGTTACATCCTGTTACACTGCTTGGCCTCAGAAACAGCAACCTACAACTGCTATCTATTTTTCCATCATATCAAAAGGCAGAAATCTATATGCTTATTCTCAAGATTCAGCCTTGATGACGACCTACACTGGTGTCAATATAATGTCCCACAATAGAATTATGTTTGTTTGGTTTTTTTAATTAAAAGATTATATATGGATACAAAGCCACAGAGTTTGTTACAAGAACTTCAATAATCTTCATAAGTCTAGCACTCAAACACTCAGGAATGCCAGAGCTTGCCTCAACAATATTTTAAGTCCCTGTGTGTATGCGTAAAGCCACATTTTTAATTACAGGCTCAGAAGAGTATTTTTAGTTTCCATATATTTCCTAACCTAGCCACAGCACAGGAGAATGTGATCTAGGAGCACTGAAGGAGAACTGTTCCTCTCTAATGAAAAGAAGATTGTCTTTCCCTCTTGTTAAACAATGTAGAGGATGTAGTCATGGAGGCACGGCTTGCACACAGAAAAGAGAATGGATGGTCTCAGAGCTAATATCGAAGACGTGGATTCTATTTTTGTCTCTGCCAACAGTTTCCAATGAGATACTTTGTAAGTCATTAAACCAAACTTTTCCCTTAGATGATTTTAAGGCTACCTATGAGCTTGCCTAGAGACAATATGTAACTAATATGAACAGAGTGTTTCCCTCAGGAGAACTGATCTTAGTCCGCTCCCCATGACTGACAGATCTGCCACACTCCCTGAATGGTGAAAACAGAAATATAAAACTTGCTTTTGGAAGAGCATAGAAGTATGAAAACATAGTTTCGAGGAAAATCTCTCTCTCTCTATATATATATATCTCATATATAGATATATAGGTTTATGCATATATATAACACCTATAACCTATATATAATGCCTTATATATATATGTTTCCCTATTTTTTATATATAGATACATATACACTGAGAGAAAGAGGAAGAGAGGGATGCTTTTGCTCATCAAAGAGCTAAGAGTTTTGAGAGCATCCTGACATAAAGAATTGGCTTGAGAATCAATGAAAATCAAGTATAATCACTAGTCAAAGGAACAATCAAAATAACAGCTCAAATTCAGTGGTGGCCACTGATTCCGAATGCCTGAATTCGGACATGTAGTCTTTGACTCCGAGGCACCCGCAGCCCCTGTTGAAGTAAACAGCAGCACTCTCAGGATTCAAAATTTCTTATGCAAGTGTGGTATGACCCACCAAATCCCATATTTGCATGATTAGAGGATTGTTATGTCTTACATGTTCATCAGTTCATGCTACTTATTCCCCATCTGCAGTCACTGTCTGCATATGCTGTGAAAATTATTGTCATTATAGATCAAAGATTATGCTTCTGAAAGACAGAGCGCGCAGGAGGAAGAGAGAAACTCTCGAGGAATATGGATTGCACCAATAGCATATAAAGTGAATTCAGTAATAAAGAATGAAAGATTCAGAAACTATGAACAAAAGACTTCTGGCAGAAGCAGAAAAGTATTTCTTCTTTCTTTTTTCCTCCTTCAAATGTTCTTGTCTCTTGAACTGGGTATTATAAGCCAATGACTATATTCAGTTTTCTTTTAAAAATGTCTTATAATTTATAATAAAACAGCTTATTTTCGTTTGGGTCAGGGATGATGGTGCAACTAAGCCATTCTTCAGTATTACTGGTAATACTACCTGCCAATCTCTCATTGACATAAAGAAAGCTTTTTTTGATAACTGTCTCCTTGAAAAGGCACCGAGTTGTTAGTTTTTAAGCTGTCAGGCTTGAACAGCATATATGCACAACAGAATTTGCACCTCATTATAGTAACACCTAGCAGCGCTGCTAAAATATAAAGGTCTTTTAGCAGTTCTTTTACTATTACTTTTTACCTTCATTCCCTTTCCGTCTTATGCACTGATGACTCAAATCTTTCCTTTAATCGGTACTTTCACCTACACATTCTAAGGCTATTTTAAAAAACATCCTTTTAAAAACCGTAAGTCTTTATATTTTCCAAATTCAATTTTTCCAGTATTTATTTTTCCATTGAAATGCTGATACTGGCCACAGTCTATTTTTGATGAAAACTTATGTGCATTGTTTTTCTTTAAATAAAAAAGAACTTTAACCGGACTTCTTCATTCCTGTACATGAAAATAATTACTTATTTTCTGAGCTTCAGTTGGGTGGATTTTTTTTTTTCTTCAAAAGCAGAAGGGGACAACCTATGTATCTCCAGCCTCACATGACTCATTAGCAGGTCATACATACCTGGTTCCCATGATAGGTTAGTACTATTTGACTGCCAGTAGGTTACGTTAGCGTGGAGGCTGGCAAGTAATCTGAAATCCCAACTGTGAATACAGTGAGCAGCAAGAGCTATCAAGACTAAAGCTGGGGAGTCACCCCTGGGTGACTTGGCTATGTGACCCAGCCCTGAGCAGCAAACTCTGGATTCCCTAATTTCCACCTCTCAGAGCTGCATACTGCATCTCTAGCCTCAGCAACATTTTGGATTTCCATTTATATGGTCAGGAGGGAGGCCATCTTTAAACAAAAGGTATAATGTTCTATTAAGTTTCATTTAAAAATATGACACATATCTGTAATTTTAATCAAATTCACAGTTCTTTTTAAATAAAACTGGAGTTATAATTTCAATAACACAATGCCTATGAAACAGTTACAGAATTCTGTTATATTTGAATTTCAAAATTTAACCAATTCAGACAGCACCGCACAAGTGCTTATAGCTATACTATGCACAAGCCCGTTACACCAAAGACTGTTTTGACTCTGAACAATTTAACTGATAAAACTGCTAAATTTAAAACTGATAAAAACTGATATCCACATCACCATATAGGCTTAATCATGAATAGATTCATTCTACTCAATTGCGCAGTGATTTCATGGGTCTCTCCATATGTTTAAAGATGAGCTTAAGAGTTCATAAGGGGAGTGTGAAAAATACTGCTTACACATTTCTTCAGTCATGCTGTTACTAAACATTTATTCAAACCAAGGGAACTTTAGAAATACAGTTTACTTCTCACCCTGTCTATTTACTTCTTGAATTCCTGCTCTAACAATGAAGAAAACAAAACTAGGAAGTCAGTTTCATTTCACTTATTAAAGTTAGTTCCACTTAACAATACTGCATATTTTTGTCTGAAAAGGCTGGAATGTTACTTATTTCTGTAAAAACAACTTTTAAAAAGAACTCTTTCAGTTACAGTGTCATCACTGCCTGTCTTAATTCTATTCCAAGCCTTCTCTGGCTAAATTTAAGACTAAAATGGCACGCTCTTTTTTTAGGCAACATGCCAGAGGTCATACAGCAAGTTAGTGGTAAAACTAGGCTTATATTCTGAAATGCTTCACAGACACAGGTCGTTCTCCTTGGGAGAGGGCTTTGATGTATAAATATTTGATGTAGAAGTAAGGCTCCTACCTTCAAGGACACTGACTACTGCTCCAGAGGGAGCTTTCACTCCTGCATCTAAACACCCAGGGAGGATTTGAAAAGCAAAGGACCAGATAGAAAGCAGTCTACAGATACTTCAGCTCAGGGACTGAGTAGCAGAGGCCGATGACACATCTGTGTTAAAAAAATGAAATAAATAATAATGATACTAAAAACCCAACAAGGCAATCATTACAACATACAACCTAAAGGAGAGCAGATTAGCAGATTCCTCGTTGTGCACTCAGTTACATTTAATAGACTGGGAAAGGCTTCTACCTGGGAAAGGACTTTTTCCCTAGACTTTAGGTGAGCTGCTTACTTTACTTGGCAATGCAAATGTGGGAACAGAGGATTAGCCTCTTGTCTCTGCCTTAAAAGGTTTGAGCCTTTTGGTAGATGATTTCTACCACTGTGAACTTCATGGGGGCGGTGCTGGGGGGATTGTTTGCACTGAAAGAATTACAGGAATGCAAATAGCAGCTAACAAGTGGAACAGGTTCCAGAAGGCACTTCCCGGCTATCACAGCTCCCCCAGAAAAGTCGAACTAGTCTAAACTAAACTTTGCATTGCCTGTTTTATATTGGAACACTTATTTGAAAATGATAAGGTTACAGGAACATCACTCAGACGTTTGGAAGTGTCAGAAAGTTTCACATACAATGTGAATTCAACTCCTTGTGCGTGTGCACTCTGATACAAATTGTAATTACATGCTGTATTTTTCGGTCACCAGGGTCGCAGGGGTCCCATACAAACAAAAATACTGTAAATGAACCTTTTAAGTTCTAAAGAAAAATATGATACTACACATTTAGAAAGTGTCCTGAAAGTTTAACTAATAAAATATATATAATAACAGAGGTGAAGAGGAACAAAAAAACCCAAAGGTACAGTATATAGAGCTACAGACTTTCTTTACAATGTACTTTATGGCTTGTGCTTAAGACTGCTGAATCTCAACACACAACCTGTGACACACCCAGAGAAGCACAGAATTATTACCGTAGTCTTTGCTCCATCTCTGTTTCTTATGATGTTTCGCATTGACTTGAGCTCCAGTTCTGCAACAGGACTCTCACACAAGCAGAAACTTTTGCTCTTACGAAGCTCTACCCTGAAGTCAGCGAGCATACCCACAAGAAGAGAAAGTCACCTACCCGCCATTAAATCCGACAAACTATTTCACATATTCCTAATGTACCAAATCCTCAGTCGGGTCACATACTTGTGTAAATAATCACAAGAATCAGTTCTCAGGTTGGGCTGTAAGCGCTGTTATAAAATACCTGCTGTACATGTCATAAAATACCTGCTACAGTAGAGAGCCCTGTTCCTCACTATGACCTTTGAGTCATATTATCACGACAAACTGCGAAAATCAGTGTCCCGCTGCAAGTACGTATCCAGACTGCCACTTAAGGCTAACTCCAAGTCAACTACTTTTTTTTAGTTTCTAAACCCACGTTTGGCCAACCACGAAAACCCCTCCGGCCCTGCCTTCACGGACGAACCCCAAGACACTGCTCCACGCTTACAGGAGGGCGGGAAGATCGCCCCAAAACCCTCCCTCCCCACCCCCCCGGCTGCAGCAGCACTGCCTTCAGCGCACCCCTCACGGTACGAGTTTTGTACAATCGCTACTTAGAGGGGAAAATGGTGTGTATGTGTGGGTGTGGGGGGGG